GCGGGGCGGGGCGGGGCGGGGCGCTCACTGCGTGGGCTCAGGCTGCACCGTGTCGCCGGGGAACGCCCTCGGTCGGCGCTGACATCATTAAGTCTGACGAGCAGAGTGACGCGTTCTTTTCTCAGTTTGGTTTGTAGTCGCGCCGACATTAGTATGATTTTTATTCCTGGCGGTGAAGCAGAAACAGCGCAGTGAGAAAAGCCTCGGACGGACGGACGGGGGGCCTTCTTGAAGACACGAAGGGAACGTGTGACCATCTCTACACACTGTAAGTTAGTCAGTTTGACCTGTGCGACTTATGGCGAGACCCTTGACTTGTACAGACTAACTATACTCAAGGCAGTGCACCAGGCCCAAACGAGGTGCGATGTCCCCTGATGATTGAGGACACTCTCTGCGCCCCATTGCAGACTGTGTATATGTAGCTCTTCCCGGTACATAATATGATATGCATAGGCAAAGGTAGCAAAGGTGTCCAGCTCAGCAGCATAGTCGTACAGATTCTAGGGTCGTGCAACTTTAGCCGCGCAGCTGCTGCTGGACACCCTGGACTTACAGTGTAGACGCTCTCGTCTGCAGAACATCGAGCCCCATGCGATATTATTTACAGTGCACGCAAGCGCAAGGAGGCTTTATACACTGGGCCGCCCGGGTGCCGGTGGCAAGTGGAGTTTACTCGGCGTCGGGGTGAATTTTAATAAGTGCGTAGTTTATCAGACGCGGAAGCGGAGGCCAAGGTAGGGGGCAGGCCGGGGTCCGCTGGGGGGGTCGAGCCTGGGGTCAACAGCCTAAAGGGGCAGGCGAGCCGGAGTCACTGCCAAGGAGACGGCCGCCCTCTCCTATTCATAGTTAACGCGCGAGCAGGAGGAGGAGAAGGGCGAGGGGCGGTGGAGGTGGTTCACCCCCGCGCGCACCTCTCGACTGAACCGGTAAGGCGCGGAAGTCAAATGGAAGCAGCAGGCGTTGTCATAATATTTCACTCGTCATCTTCTCACACGAGGGGTGAGGGGTGCCGCAAGTTTTAACTAAAACGCGCGGAAGATCGCTCTAAAAGGCGCCTGCTGCTGAAAGCCCCACGCGGGAAATAAGAGCTACTGTATTTTTTCAGGCAATCGTCTCGTTTGTCTCTATGTCTTCACTGGAAACTCAAGTGTGTGAATGTCGCACACTTCTAGGTGTGTGAATATCCATCCGTACACTTAGGGGGGTAAACGTGTGAATTTTCTAGGAAAAATTCACAGCTTTACCTCTCCAAGTGTGCGAATGGATATTCACACACCTACAAGTGAGTGACATTCACACACTTGCGTTTCCAGTGTTTTTACGGTGCAGTCACATGAGGCGGCCGATCCGAACGGGGAGTTACGAGGCGGTCAGGAACATCCCCCCGTGCCGCTCCTTGTGGGGGCCCCGCAGCTCACTTTACGCGACGCGAAACCACCGCGCGTGTGACGACCCTAACGCGCGGGTGGCGTTTACGTCCCCCCCTCCCCCCC